TTTTCTTTTTTTTTTTGGGGTTTTGTGGGGTTTCTTGTTGTATTTATTTAATATATTTGTTTTAAATTTGTCTAGAGTTATTCATTAAAGAATTATTGAAGTAATGCATTCTGAACTTCAGAAGAAATTTGTAGATATTCTCATTACCTGATGGCATAAAAAATGACTAATATTACCCGTAGACCAAGTTTGCTGCAATTTTACGTCTTTGAATCTTCAGCTTCAGTTACTTCTGCAATTTTTGTTTGAAATTTCAATTATTATACCAAAGTTGTAGATCTTATCTACCATAGATATTAAGGAATGTAAGATGATTATATGCGAATGGTTCCTTAATGCGCGTTTGAAATTGGATGAAGGGGAAGACGCTGTTTGACTGTTACCCTAGCTAGTAATGCAAGATATCTCCCGCAAGTGTGCTTCTTTTATCGTTTCTTTTCTTTGTTTTTAGGGAGAGTAGTCCACAAGGTTATCCTTTACTAGCTTCTGGATAATTAATTTGTTTTGCCGGTATAACGCTTGGAATGAACAGTGCCCTTAATGGATATGTATCGGTGCTGTTGCTCAGTGTAGTTGATCTGAACGGTTTCTTGTTGAAACTTTTGATATCTATCTTATGGTATAGTTGCTACTATTGTGGGAGAGGAAAAAGGACCATAATAATAGAGTGTAACTGCAGGATGATGGAATCTGGTTTGCTTCCTGAGGAATTGGCAATGAAAGTGTATGAAAAGAAGCAAAAGAAAGGTTTGCAGAGCAAGTTGAGTTCGCCATTGAAGGCAGCAACTTCAGTGAAGAGCCGCAGCCAATCCGTAACAGTGAAGAAGAAAACACGATCCACCCCTGTGCCTTGTGTAGTAAATAAGAAAGCGGCCTCCACACAGAAGCAATCCAAGAAGCGGAAAGTGAAGGATGACTCTGACACTGACTCTGACTCCGGCGACGAGCTTATATTACCCAAAGCCAAGAAAAGGAAAGAGGCCTAGTTGTTCCGGTAATTGGCATGTTGACGAAACTTTTCTCTTACATTCGATTTAAATCTTAGACAATTGTAATGTGATTGACACTATGGTTTTATATCTGCGAATGGGGTTGACCACTTTCTTAGATAAATCTCTCCATGCGGCAGTCAGGAAAATTTTAAAAGAAATAAAATATGATTCTTTTTAATTAATTAATTATCTAACCTAAATGTTAAGTAAAGTACTAACTTTGGGTTTAATATAATAATTAGTTGGGTAATTTAAAGAGAATAAGAAAATTAGTTAATATAATTATTTGTAATAAATAGGTATTATCTTTTTTAAAATATCTTTATTAATCAAATATATTATTGGCTAAAATAATTATTATTATAAGCATTATTTTTGAAAAAAATAGGTAAATATGAGAGATAAAGTAGATTAAGATTTTATATTTAAGAGCAAAATAAAAGTCAAATAAGATATTGTATTAAAGACTGGAGGTAGTACTTATAGATAATGTAATTTATAATTGGTTTTAATCATATATGATGGATTTTGTGATGTTAAACTAAATAAGTAACATTAGAGTTCCAAGAATTGAACCGGCTAGTGGTAGGTTCGGTCTAGGCATTAAACCAGTCAAGAGTTGTACCGGTATTGAATTGGTAGAAATTGTTGTGAGCCGGTTTAAATGATTATGTTGTTATTGGTCTTTTTTTTTTCCATTTAGCTTCTAATATTTCAATCACTATAAATTTTAATGAATTTTAGTAATAATCTTGATACCAATGATTATTAATTTTAATTATTAATGAATTGTAAAGATCAAAATTTTTAATATTATTATATTTTGTTATTGTTACAATCAAACTATTGTTATATTTTTTTATATTTTGTTAGTAGTGATTATTAATGTTGTTATTTTTCATTATTTTTAATTAAATTATTATATTTTAATATGACTGGTTTGACCTGGTCTGACTCCTGAATTACCATCTCAAGCGATTTAATGTCTATCTAGTAGTATTTTGTTTCTTGGATTTCAATGTCCTGCTGCTTCAACAGCCGCCGTTAGGGCTTTAAGAGGGTGCTGTATGGGGATTGCGCGGCATCTGCATTCTCTCGTTTTCTTGGAAGTCATTAAGTCAATACGTTTGTTTTCTGTCTTTCTTTGTTTGGTTTGGTATATAATTTAATTTGACTTACTAATAAATAAAGCATTCTTTGTTATTTGTTGATTTGAAGTTTTAGTTTGGGAAACTTAAATTTCATAATTTCTGATTACCAGGTTAATATGTATATTTTGAAACGTATGATGGTTTTGAAAATTTAAAATGAAATAAAAATATTTTTCAAAGCTAAATATTAATTTAAAGGAAAAATTTTGTGGTGTTTTAAACTTTTGTTCGAGGTTCTCCTAATCTCCTCTGATGGATTCATATATAATTTTTTTAATTAATGTAAAATATAGCTGCTTCTTTTTAGTTGTGTTCATCAATTTATCAACTTCTTCGAAATTTATGTGACCTACGAAACCTTAAGATGTGTATCTATACTTCTCTGTCAAGCGAGTACCAATTTCACGAAGATTATTTCAGCCAGTAAGAATTTCGTCATTAATTCAAGAAGTTATAAATTTAAATGCCGCCGCAAATGTGAGAATTTTTAAATGTACGATTTATAAACATCGACGTAAATATTGATGAGCTTTCAAGTTTTAGTTCAGCTAAATTTTCACATGTCCAATAAAACGCAACACCAGTTTGAATATATACTAGTTGTTAGTTTATCACTATCACGTGGTATAGTATGATGGCATAAGACAAGTTAGTTAATCAAAAAATCAGTTCATTACAAAATTAAAAAAAAGTAATGAATCCTTTAAACATTTTAAGCATAAGTGTGAAGACGAGCCACGTGTATGAATATATAACAAGTCATAAATTATACTCTTCCGGTCCTTAATATAAGACCTATTTAACTAATTTGATTAGATTAAGAAAGTTAGGTAAGCTGGTAAATTATAATAAATATGACATGTTTTTCCTAAAACACCATAATCATCTTTTCAATACCTCCCCTTCATCTTCTACTTGATTATGGCTGAGGAAGTATCCATAAAGGTAATTTAGAAAGTATTGATAAGTATGAGAAATAGGTTTTATATTTAGGACCAAAACCAACTCAATAATTAGGTCCTACATTAAGAACCAGAGGAGTATATTGTTGCGACAATTTACGAGTTGAATATTTGCACTCTTTTCTTGAGTGCGAGAGCATCACATGAGTACAAGAATATATGCAATTCTGCTTTGCAAATTCGAACGACAAAGACAAATACAAAGTAACGAGATGGGTGCATATCCTTTGTACGGTATGTATGGTCGTCATATCGTATCATTTAGTCAATGCGTACATAGTCTATTTTTCCTCAAGTGTAGTGCATTGTAGCTTTTTCCCCGCTATATTATGAAGGGGAAATCATTTATTGATATTTCAATTCTTAAAAAGACCCCTCTGATGCCTTTTTTTAAAAAAAGAAATAAGAAAAAGGTATTATTTTATTTATACAATCAATGATCATCAATACATGAGATTTGGCGTCCATACGGCATTTTGTTTGTTAAGGGGTCCAAACGTGCAAAATTGCCGAGAAATCAGCACAAAGATTGGGCTCGTATGGGTGGCATGAGATCATCGGTGTAGGAATTGGGATTACAAAAGATATCACGCTAACTAAAAATTCTGGGCGCATAAAACCTAAGACAGGAATATTTGAACAAACTCGTGTCTTTCTAACAAAACCACTTTTGAAATTTTAATCCTGTGATCCGCTAGAGTAGTTTTTATCACTAATCATTACTCCTCCGGTCCTAATTATAAGACCCAATTGACTTATTTGATGAGATTAAGGAAGTAAGTTAAGTTGGTTATTTATAATAAATAAGTGTTGTCATTCCTAAAATATCCTTACTAATTAAGTATATTGGCTAAACTATCATTATTAGAAGGATTATCTGGAAAAAAATACATAAATATAAGAGACAAAATGGATTGAGTCTTATAATTAGGACCAAATAAAAAGTCAAATTGGGTCTTATAATAAGGACCGGAGGAGTATTTTATTTGGCCTCGGTGACCAAAATTGAGCGCGCACTCTTCCTCTTATCCACCACAAGCAATTTCCCTATATTTTCGCTCGATTTCAAAGTTGATATCGATTTTAGGCAGCTCATCATTCCAATCACATAAATCACTTCCCTAATTTCCTTTCTTCTTTTGTTTGACCAGCGAATATTACTGGGTAATTATTTTTGTTGAACTGATGAAATTTCAGTTTAACGCTGATGATAGCTTCCCATGTCACCACGCTTTACCTCCTTCTCTGGACAATCTGTGGTTCATGAAGACGATAAATGAGCAAATAAAATATCCTAACAACCAGACTAATTATTATTAAAATAAATAAACAAAAAAAGTTATATAGATGTTGAATAAAAACCATTAAACCATGGAAGCACGGATAAAACAGAATGGGAAGAAGAGTTCGAGTGAGGCCTCAAGGGCTCGATCGAATATAAAAAGGTAAATGTGTTACTTGCGGATATTTACACACTGAGTGAATATATATATATACTCATCAGTCGATCTAATTGTTAAGTTAATTTTAATCTTAAATATAAGAATTATTTTTATATTTATTAATTTTTTTAAATATACACGTGTGGTAAAAGAAAAGTTAAAAAGAAAGAAGAAGTGAAAGATGCGGTACTTGGTTAGCAACAGAAGGAATGAGGATTGATTTGAGAATGGAAGAAAAAGAATTCGGGGTCTGAGAGTCCAAGGATCCAAGTGGACGCAGAAGAGGCTTTACCATATAAAGCTCTATATAAACCCTAGTGAGCCTCAATCTTTCCCTCCTTGACACGTGTCAGATGATTCCGCCTCGCCCTGTTTTGCCCTTTCCTTTTTTATTTTTAGTTTTGCGACTCTCTTCGTCTCCTTCCCTCCCTCACCCTACCCCCAACACATCACTCCCCTTTTTCTCTCTCATCTCAACCCTCTCATCCAATCCCCTCCCCCTCCCTTCCCCTCTCTCCGTATTATCTATCCCAGAGTGCTCTGAAGCTCCTCTGTTTCTGCGGATACTTGGACCAGCTCTGGATTGCGAGCGACAGAGCAAAACAACGCATTGGCAATTCCCCTCGATTCCCAACTCTGCCTCTACCATGTTAACTCCCGAGGAGATTCAAGTTCTTGAAATCCTTGCTCGCCTGCCGCAACTAGTCTTTGAATCTGAGGTCCCTTCTTTGTTACCATCCGCCTGGGGCTGTAGGAGGAGGAGATCTGCAATTGACCTTCCCTCTTATCAGTCCCATTCTCTCCGTCTCCGTCTTCGAGTGTCTAAAACGCCGTCGCCGTCGCATCCCGCTACTAAAGATGGTGTTGCTCAGACATCCGACACCGATAGTTTACCGGTGGTCAAGGCTAATGCTCCTAGTCCTGCTACCCCTCTTTCGTTTTCTCCCAGCGAATCTGACGAGAAGCCCGTCGTCTTGAAAAAGAAACAATCCCGGAAAAGGGTATGTTTTGCTGCCTTGCTCTCGTCTTTTCACCTTCATTAATTATCTCACTCTGCTCTCTTATGGCTTCTTCGTGAGTTTTTCCTCCTCTATTTGCTCTGATGTAACGGGATTTTGCCGATCCTGTGCTTTCGATTCTTCGAATGCCTTTTTTTTTTTTTAAAACAAAAAAACTCTGTTTTATATAATTATGTATAATAATTTACTTATGCTTATTCATCTCTTCGTTATCCAATTTTTGAACTTTTGTTGTTATTAAAATCTGTAGAAGAGAGACGACCTTTTGAGGACGATAGAAGAATTGACGAAAAGCAAACAATTACTTCTAGGGGTAAGTTTTTTCCCCGTCATTTACTCTGCCCGGAGTGACAGACGTAGCGTTTAGTTTTAGTTCTAAAAGATAGGTGCCGTATCTGGTTTTCTTGCTTACTGTTTGATCTGTGAAATTCAAATAGGAGATAGATAATGTGAAACGTTATCACGACGATCTGAAAGCCCACAATTTGAAGCTGAAAGCACGGCAAGAAGAGGTAGTCAATTCTTTTCCTTTCTTTTTTGCCCCTCCATATTATTCCTTTTCCTCCCCTTCCATAATGCTTATCCTTCTTTTTTCTGCTCCTTTAGTTTGAGTTTCTTTCCTTTTCTTTTGTTTTTTTTTTTAATCCCTGAGTTTTATGTTACTTTATCGCTGGCTCTATCTGATGTACGTCTAAACCATGTTGAATTGTTTTTTCCCAAACAGTTGAGTGTTGGTCGTCAAAAGGAGAATTCCTCTATGAACATGGGCTTGCAAGGAGCCAATGCCTCGGGGAACTCGCCTTCCATGGCTGAAAATAGAGATCCTGATCAGCGTCATCACGATGGGCAGCGAATCGCCTGCCAAGCGGGCGAGTCTTGTCAACCAACGACGTCGTTGCCGTCAACTAGTGGATCAGGCATCGTTCCGTTTGGAATTCCTGATCTGAACGTCTACCCCGACGACACAATCCCAGTTGATTCTTCTCAACCCTTTGAGCTAAGTTTGGCTAACAAGCAACTCTCTAGGTTCATGGCAGCTCAGGCGAGGCAGAAGAGGATCATGATTAAAAGGGTTAAGAATTTCATGGGAACCAGTAAACCACGTTCCTCTAGTAGATGAGTAGATGAGTTTTCCCTTTCTATTATTAAAATTATTATTATTTCCTTATCCCATTTGTGGGTTTTACAGTTTTGCCCTTAAGTGGTATATGGCTTGATGCGGAAGAAATTGTTCTCATTCTCGTGATACTGATATATTTGATAGGATCGCGACTCGCAAAAATTGTAGAATAGAGTTATCTGCGGAATATTTTGTTGGATACGTGATGTGCTGGTGATAAATGATCTATTTAAAAATAGTATGTTAATATTTTAAATCTTCTTTGAGCTTAAAGTTCACGGTAATTATTAGCTATAGTACCTATTTGTTATAAGGAAAAAAAAAAAGGAACAGAAAAATGTGTAAGCAGAAGGGTGCCAAAAAAAAAATTGTCGGATGCCACGGATTGAGTTAGAAAAAAAAAGAGGGCCTCTGTGTTTAAAAGTAGAAGGATTTGGCCCTGATCAATGATTATCTTTGTCAACAAAGGTGTATAAGTGTATTCGCCCATAGGAGAAAAAACCGTTAATAGAATAAGGGGTCAACATCCTGGGCACTAATTGGCCACGTGGGCAGACTTGAATTGTGAGACTTTGGTGGATTGAATTCCACAGGGGTGAAGCAGCCCCGTCTCTCCTCCAACGAAGCCGACTCTTCCCGGAAAGCAGTAATCCCCCGCGGAGAAATTCGTGGTGTGTCAATTTAATGGGAGGGCAGATCAGCAAAATAGGCATGCGCCGACTCCCTGATCCGGCACTGTTTATCCCGCTCCGAGGCAATGATTGCGGGACCCGGATTTGCACTGGCTCTTCACGCCAATATCAGATTCAGATCCCCGCGCTTCCATTTACCACATCAGCACATGAAAGATCAAGGCATGTCATTTACCTACTTAAGCTTATATATTTAACAACCAGAGTTAGTTAAATGGCCAGGTTAAGACAAACATATCTCCAGGTCATCGTCCTTCACACAATGAAACGTTGTTGTTATGGCCCTGTTGCATCTGTTGAGTGGCTACGAATCATATGCAAAATCAACCTATAAAATATTATTCATTCAAAACTAACTTATATCATATCATCAAATTACAATTAAAACCATGGCAAGTATATAATTCTTAAAAATAACGTCCTGAGTGTACATTCACACGTAATTATGAACAAGAAATATATATAATTAAATCTTGAAGTGAATCATTTCACACTCTGTTGTCTCTAGTTAAATTGTAATTTCTATTCTGCTGGAACAAATTAATAAATTATGAGATATATTATCTACACTAACGAGTATACTTTTCTTTAAAGCGGCATGGACTAATAGATTAAATTTGTTCTACTTTCGCTGACCAGAATTTTCCTGCCAATAAATTTGTCAGGTGTTGTTTACCGACACTGAGGGCACTTTTTCTTATACAGTGTAAAATTGTCCGCATTGAAACCATATACATCTATGATTCATGTCACGATGCTCAACACACACACATATAAAGAAGAATCCGGCATCAAATTATTGACACGTTACTATATCAATATACTTTTTGATTCTAAATATAAGATTTATTTTATAGTGATTGGAAGAGTATAACATATGATTAACAGAGAATCCAAACCATGTGAAGCAGGAGAAGTGGAGTTTGGGTCAGAGCCCAACATGACTTCACCAGGCCCATTGTGGCCTGGGAATAGGCTCAGCTCAGCTCATCAAATCAAAATCCACTTGTGAGAAGGCGCATGGTTGTAGGCTGTAGCCAGTAGATCCGCTTTTGCTCATCCCAGGCCGTGACTGCCAGAGCATGCTAACATTAACATTGGGATCCTCCCCGTTCTTCTCAACCGACCAAACCCCCTTTCTCTCCGCTCCCTATTAATTCCCTTCTTCACTTGCTCACTCTACTCCTCTTTCTCCTTATCTCCCACCCTCTTCTCCCATGGCTAACCCTCGTGTCTTCTTTGACATCTCCGTCGGCGGATCCCCCGCTGGTCGCATCGTCATGGAACTCTACGCCGACACTACCCCCCGCACCGCTGAGAACTTTCGTGCCCTTTGCACCGGCGAGAAGGGCACCGGTCGCAGCGGCAAGTCCCTCCATTACAAGGGCTCCATTTTCCACCGCGTCATCCCCGGCTTCATGTGTCAGGGAGGCGATTTCACCGCTTGCAACGGCACCGGTGGCGAGTCCATCTATGGATCCAAGTTCGAAGATGAGAATTTCATCAAGAAGCACACCGGTCCCGGAGTTCTATCCATGGCCAATGCCGGCCCCGGCACCAATGGATCGCAGTTCTTCATTTGTACGGCCAAGACGGATTGGCTCGATGGCAAGCATGTGGTGTTTGGGCAGGTCGTGGAGGGCATGGAGGTGGTCAAGGCGATCGAGACCGTTGGATCTTCCTCCGGCAAAACCTCCAAGCCCGTCGTCATTGCCGACTGCGGTCAGATCTCTTAAGCCTCACACTGCCATCCCTCCGTCTTCTCCATTCAAGATCAAATAAATCTCTCCATTCTAGATTAGGGTTTAGGATTGTGAGGCAAAGGTAAGTGGCCGGCGCTTCCTGCTTCGTAGTTGGTGGTTAACGCAGCGAATCATAAGACTAGAATATTTAATTATTGTCATTGATCATCATTAATGTTTTAGGCATCAGCATCAGAGATGGTTTGGGTTCATGCTAATGTTTAATGAACGTTGGCTCGTTAGTTACCTTCATTCTGAGGTGAATTGCTATTCCTACTTCGGATACCTTGCAGCGTGCATGGAGACGTCAAGGCAGAGCCATTAGAAATAAAATGAAACAGACCAGCAGCTTCGTCTAGTTTTATCGCAAAATTAAATTAGGACGTCTATGTCTATATATATATGTGTGTGTGTGTGTGTGTGTATGGGCTGCCATCTTCCCCTCAAATCAAATGGGCGCATACGTAGGTTTTAGCTAGTCAGATGGAAAACAAAATGTGAAAGCATGTAATTAATAAATATTCTCATACTTGGAAATTATCTGATCCAGCCATGAGTATAGGCCTTTTTAAATGCACGCTTGAGCGGCCATTGCTTTGTTGGATGGTTAAGCTGAACCCTTATGCCCTTCTAACAATACAGCGGCATATACCAACAAATGTATATATGATTATTCCGAATACTTTGGCCTTTTATCAGTTGTTTAAGAGCATGGGAACTCAATTGCAGAGACTCGCTATGGGGATTTTTGACTATAAAGGGATATTTAAATGGAAGCCAAATTATAATTTTAAAAATAATTTTATGATATATAAAGTATGTATGTAAGAAGAGTTTTATTTCGACTTACATAAAAATACTTTTAAAAAGTATTTTAGAAAAAAAGGAAACTCTCCCTTAAGTGGCTCTTACGGATGTGTGTTAGTTCACGCGCAGCACATTATTATGCTATTTATTGTTTTATTCGATAATTTGATTTAATTCTTTTGACGGAACACAACACTGAAAAAAAAAAGCAACATGCAGTTTGAAATGTTAAATAATTATTACTGCATGTGTGCGTATTAGCTGCACCGTGCATACAAAATATTCAGGAGCTATTCTTGTTAAACAACGTGCACAATATATATGTGTGTGTGTGGCGGAATTATTTTAAAAATGTCATTTGCTCTGCAACGTCACTAGTTATACACTCGAGGAGGCATACCTAGATAGGTTCTAGTATACTGTAAGATCTTCAAATTAAAACTCGTTGACACGAGAATCGTTATTTACAATTATAATGTAGGAGTCAGTATGTGTGTGTGTGTGAAAACAAGTCATTCATGAGTCATGAGTATAATAATCTAACTTTCTGTAAATTATATACATAACATTAATTTTTTCCCAACTATATAGCATTAATTGTGAGATGTAAACTCTGATACGTTTAAATTTAATTTATTTAAAGAAAAGAAAACTAATCCTGATAACACGTATATTATTTTGGTTCATATGAGTTTTTCTTTGGCCAAAGTTCATAGGAGAGAGATATATATTATTTTGCAATAATTAGAATTATTTTTTTAAAAAAGTGTCATATTAACTACTACTGCTATTTTGTGCTGTCAATGATCAGGCCAGAAATTTATCGCTCAACCACGTCCACGTCTTTCAGAAGGTTTAATTTCCGCGTCATAATGTCTATTTCATCCGCGTATTTTTTTTTTTTGGGCCAACGTTCATCCACGTATTATCTATTATATGCATGTGCTGAATTCTATATTACAGCGTATATATATAGGAACTAACCCAGTGATTAAACAAGAACAAAAAATTCTCATAACAGGTTGACTTAGCTTGGGGGATTAAATATTAGCTTTCCCGGGGGCCATCATATTGAGGATGAACAAAGTAAGTACCCGAGCTGCGTAGAGCTTGAACAAGTGTGCATGTTTACGTATTACATTCGTGAAACGTATTATTCAATCGGCACTCGACCGCGATCGTCTCATTCCATTATTGATTATTTTTTATGAGAAACAATTTGTCAGATCATATTAATAAAAAAGCTAGTTAACAATAAATATATCAAAATAAATGTACTTATTGAATATATTTGAAATCAACGTATACTTTCAAATAAGGCTTTGCAAATCTTCAGGCCCAACTTAGTCGTTTTTCATTAAAAAAGCGTCTGTTTGATTTTATACAAAAATCTATTTGGTATGAGAAAAATGAAAAGAAGAGAAAGAAAAATTTGTTATTAGTTCAATCTAAAAATTTATAGAATTTTCATTAAAAGATTTTAATTATATTTGTTCTTGTTCTTTTATCTTACATTTTTTTAATTAAAATTTTATAATCACACTTTTAATGTTTTTTTTAAGTCCAACCCATTAAAACTTCCCTTTCTTTCCCTCTCCCCGTACCAAAGATAAGCTTAGTCAACTAAAATTGTAAAAATGATCCACTATACACTTTCTTAAAACCAAACTATTTTTTTGTAATACAAAAAACAAACTATTGTTTTACCTACAAAACAAAAGTAATTATCCTCTGAATAATTCTCCGTTTGACATTAAAAAAAAAAAGAAAAGAACTGAGCGCGGAAGAAAAACGTGGTAAATGAGTAAAAAGTGGACACAGAAAATCCAAGGCATAGGTTGGTAGGACTTGGTTTCGGCTGCGCTTTCACGTTTTTCTCTTTCATACGCAGTCCCTGACGGAGAAGGAAGCTCAGAGTCGTCGGTTGGCACATTTCTCTTTCATTCGAGTCAATACCCCTGCCACGAAATTTCCTCTCCTTCCCATTTGCGCGTTCCTTTTTAATTTGTTTCCCTTCTATTTCTTTTTCTTTTTGCCTTCTTTATTTGCCCACAAATGCATTCTTATGAATGTCATCTATCCACCCATCCCCCCAGTCAAACCCGAAAATCGTACTATTCTCCTTTTTTTTTAGCTGGTCAATTCCTGTGTTCCTATTCTTTCTCACTCAAGATCTTTGTTTTCTGTTCTTCTACTCTGGCTTTGGTATTCGACCTGGATACTCTCCGTAATTAGGTATATTCCAAACCTTCGTGGACACTTGTGATAACTGAATTCTTCAATCCTAGTAGGTAGGGTTTTCTTTGGCGGCTCATCAGGATTCTCTGGGGAGAAAAGGAAGAAGCATTAGATGCCATTATTTGAACCCAGCCCGGCAAAACCGAACGTTTTGCATTTAGATACAGTTAATTAATTTATAATATTATTTCAGTTCTGCTTTTCCATTTTCCTGGAGCCATAGCTCTCGCTACAAAATTTCCACCCTCTTGTCAATTAGTATATATACTGAATTTGTGCAGGCATTGGATTTTCATCGGCTCAGATACAGCATAATGGGAGCTGTTTGCTCGGCGGGGACTGTTGAGAGAAACGAAGAATTTGGAAGGAAGAATTTCGGGTTCTCCGGAAAGCTAAAGAAGGAAAAGAGTTTTACTAATTGGGAAGGGGATTCCTCTCCGGCTTCCAGCAAGAAAGATCATGGAAAAAGGCAAAAGAAGAGAGACTCTGATGAGCTCCAGTTGTCGTTTTCCAGTGAACTGAAGTCGTCGACTCCAACTCGAGCAGGGGCATGGAGGGTACGTTTCACTTAGTGGTCATCATGAGCGGTCTGTGACATGTAGTTACGAAATGCTTATCATCACTGCTAGTCAATGTTTTTTCTGGAGTTTGGAAAAATCTAATAATGTTTAACTATGTGACTGGCTTAATTTGGATTATTACGGTTAGAAAATTTGTGCACTTAATTGTTTTTTCCAATCTAGTTTATTAATTTATTTCACTTGTTGGGGTGTAATCTTATCCAATACAAACCATCCTTCCATCCTGTGGATAGGTGATTGAATTTGGGAGCTGATTGAATACCCCGGAAATAATTCATTTACATCTATGCTTTGGTGGCTTACTGAATTTGTATTACTCTTACCCGATTCCAGCAACAGTCTGCTTATTTCAGATCCTTACCCTATTCCAGCAACAGTCTGTTTATTTCTCAGACTCGGGAAGTGGTGGCTAACTGAATTTATCAAATTACGGAGAGAGATAATTTGATTTTTTTCTCGTCTTTCGATTTTTTGCCTTCTTTAAGAAATAAGTTCCTGTGGTGGTCCATCGGATTATTTAGACGAACGCCCAGCCTTCATATATCATTTTTTAAACTTCTTAATGAATGAAGCTTCTTCATTTGATAGGTCACCCAGAGAGGCTCCTTCTTGGGAAAAGCGGGCGAGAGGGCAGTAGAAGTTCTTGACTCACTTGGAAGTAGCATGCCAAAATTGAACACCAGTACCGGTTTTTCCTCTGGCATTGCTTCTAGAGGAAATAAAATATCTATATTGGCGTTTGAAGTAGCTAACACAATAACCAAAGGATCAATTTTGTTCCAATCACTTTCAGAAGAGAACATTCAGACCCTCAAAAAGGAGGTTTTACAATCTGAAGGGTTGCAACACCTAGTTTCAACTGATATGAAGGAGTTACTAAGTCTTGCTGAAGCTGACAAAAGGTTATTCCTTGTTCAGAGAATAGCATTTTTCCCGTAGGGGCTTAATTTGCTTATAGGCCTTATGTGCAATTTTGTTCTCCCTTCCGTGTTCTATTTCTCTGATTTTTTTTTTTTTTTTTGGGGGGCAATTCGTAGGGAAGAATTTAATGTCTTCTCGCGGGAAGTAGCTAGATTTGGGGATGCATGTAAGGACCCCCAGTGGCACAACCTAGATCGATATTTCTCAAGGTGAGATTACTTTTATATGACAACTTACGACAATTATTTGCTCACTTGCTTTGATTTAATTCTTAAATGACTTCAATTATATCAGATTAGAATTGGATGCCTTCGGTGACAAGCAACCTAGGGCAGAGGCAGAAAAGACAATGCAGGAGTTGACCACTCTAGCTCAGTATACTGCTGTAAGCTCATTTTAGTCTTAAATAAAGCTTCACGTGACCTTTTATCTCCTTGGAGAACTGATTGAGCACCCCCAATTTTGTAATTTTGGTTTCCTACATTTATGCTGTGCAATGTTGTTTCTCAGATGTTTTGAGATTATATATCTGCAATTAATAAGATGCAGCTGTAATTATGTTTCTTGAAGAATTTGGCCATTTGATTCTTTTATGCTTTTGCTAATCAACTAGTAGTTCCTATTTGAAAGAACTAACTCCCTCCATTCTCGATAGGAATTATATCATGAATTAAATGCTTTTGACCGGTTTGAACAAGATTATCAGCAAAAGATTAAGGAAATGGAGTCCCTAAATCTTCCTCTGAAAGGTCAGAAACAGCAATATTGTTTGCTCAATTTGTTTCCTTGATTTTCTATATCTTTGCCAATGATGATTTTAGATTTAATCATGCTTTTGGATTATGACTTTCTATTCATGTTTAACATTAAGTTGACAAAATTTGCCGTGACCATGCTATCTTGAAATCAAGAAATGGTTTCAGATAATCACTGCTGTTTGTTAATCTTAAAAAAATATACTATCCCTGTGGACCCAAAAAAACTAATGTTGTAGGGGAGAATAATTTATATAACACTGCTGATTGAGGGTCACCTTCTATGTAATTGCAGGGGAGAGCCTCACAATTTTTCAGAGTGAGCTGAAGCATCAAAAAAAGATTGTAAGAAGCTTGAAAAACAAGTCTCTGTGGTCTCAAAATTTGGAGGGGGTATATTTTAAATCATATATAAATTTTGGGAATCTGTAGGAAATAATATTTCCTAATTTTAATTCTATTGTTTCTTGAATAAAGTAATTCCTGGCATTTCCCTGCCTTAATGAAATATTCATGGATATTTTATATCTGTTTTAGAATTGAAATTTTTATTAGTATTTCGCTTTATTAGGTTTATTGTCTTATTCTATTGGGTTTTCTGTTCTCAGATAGTTGAAAAGCTCGTTGATATTGTGATCTATATGCATCAAGCAATTTCTGAGTCACTTGGAAATTATGGTATCAGATCACATCTCATATGCATCTCCATTTATAATGTGAAATTAACAACATTTCCCATCTCCCTGTACGGAAGGGTCTAGTAATCTAGTTTAGATTAAACCATGCAGTTCGAACTTGCTTTATTAATTAACTCATCCTCTTGGCATGGCAAGATTCTCCGTAAAGAGAACTCATGTATATTTGGCCATATAAAATGCTTTTCATGCTATTTAGAATAAAGCAACATTTTCCTGTGTGAGCTTGCATGAAGTGAGGGACACCATCTGTGCATTCGCTGGAGGAAACTCCTTGGTAGGAAAAAAAATAAACTTGCTACCTCCTAATTCTGCAATATTTCTTCCTGGAGGCTCACAATGGAATGTCTTTATGACCTCTCATTTTTTTACTAGAGCCATGTTTACACTGCGTAATGCTCTTTGCTAAATATCTTCTGTGGTCCGACATAAATAACCCATGCTCTGTTCCTGTCCATGCAAACTTGTATGAAAATTCTGTTTCCATCAATCCATTAACTACCATCTACATCTCGTTAGCAGATCAAGAGAGTCTACAGATTAATCTTTCGAAGATAGGTTCATCTTGTTATCATACTCTGAAATTTTCCTTGAAAATGTGAATTTATGGCAGGTATATCTGTTGCAGTTGTCAATAATGGTAAGGGCCCTCAAAGACTAGGCGATGCTGGCCTTGCGCTGCACTATGCTAATATTACCAGTCAGATAAATATGATTGTAAGTTTTGGATGGAGGAAAATATGTACTTTTACTGTGTAGTGTGATGCTAATATAGTTGGTAGAAATCTTAATCAAAAAGTTGATTTCTATTAGGCATCTCGTCCGATGTTTGTTCAGCCTAATATGAGGGACACATTATATCACGCGTTACCCAATAATATCAAGGCTTCTCTTCCATCCCGCTTGCAAATTATTGATACCAAGAAGGAGGTATGTCCTCCCTAAGTTTGATTAATTTGTTTCTCTGTCTTACATGCTTCATTGTGGATTCCTCCTTTCCTGGTTGGAATATGCTAAATGGCTATTACCCGTAGGTCTCCATTACTCAGGTCAAAGCTGAAATTGACAAAACTCTTCAATGGCTTGTTCCACTTGCCACAAATACGACCAAGTAAGACATGGAAGATTGTTGTTTTAAAAAATCCACTTTTTTAATTGTTTACTTTGGGGTCCTACGCTTGGTCTAATTTATTTGGTGAGAAACAATTGAATGTTCTGGCAATTGATATTTTATTGGATTGGTATCGGTTCAGAGCACATCAAGGTTTTGGATGGGTTGGCGAATGGGCGAATAAAAGGTTGGTTATGAGTCCTTGACCTATGAATGTAAGATTGTGTGGACAATGAAATTGAGATTATTGCGTTATTGTGTACAGTAGTGACTTTGGAGATGATCCAGCCAGAGAAAGCAACATAATCCGCCTCCTGACGCTTCACTATGCGGATAAACAGAAGATAGATGTTCACCTTCTTGAATTATTAACCCTGTTGCACCAGTTGATGAGCATTGGAAGATATAGACACGATGCCATGAAGCCAATGGCCAGTCGATCTCCTTCGAAGGGGCTTGATTTTCAGTCAAAAATACAGCACTGGATATCTATAGAAGGTAGTAGGAAAACGGTGGGAATAAAACTATCTGAAGAGGATAGGAGTTTGCTGGAGGAGGTGATGGCGAGGAAGAGGACTCCAGGAGTTAGCAGAAGTGAGGATTTAGCGTTTGCCAAGAAAAAAGAAGGTTTGGGCAGAGATTGGCGCTCCAGCAGGAGTGTTGGAAGCTCGCCCAATAACGAGTTGGATGCCAGACCGCGCTGGGACCATGAGAGCCCCACCCGTTTGGATATTTTGGATGGTTTAAAATATTGAAGGCTTTCCTCTTCACCTCTTTTGTAGTCCGCTTTCTTCCAGCCTTTAACGAAATTCTTTCTAGCTAATATTGTTTATTTCTGTATATATCTTTATAGAGGTATTTATCAATGTCCACAAATTTTTTTCCCGGAGAACAGTTGATTTGTTGATACTGAAGTTATACATGATTCCCCCCCCCCTAAATATGCTAGTTCTCAATATGATATATGATTTTTTTTTTATTTATTAGTTGATACTTCCTTTAATCTTAAATGTGAAAGCCAATTTGAGTGTTGGTTTTAATCTTAAATATAATATTTTAATTCACTTTCTTTTTTAAATTTATAGTTTTTCTCTTAAATTATATCTATTAGTTGCGTGTATAAAAAGAGAGTTTCTATTAACAGCTAAGATAATGATGAAAAAATATATTTTAAAAAACCATTACGTATTTATTACAAATAACTAATTTAATTAATTTTTTAATATATATAAATTAAATTAGTTGTTTTGCTAGAGAGCACTGTATTAGGGAAAGATAAAACAGGTTCTTTGATTAAGAAAAATTAACTGGATTGAATGGAAACTTGAAATTCAAATTCCAAAGAGGTTGGAACATTCTCTCTTTTCAAAGACTGGTTGTCCTTCTCTTTCACAGACACAGCAGCTTTTGCCCGCTTGGAAATGGTTAAATAAATTTTGAACGAGTCAAATGGAAGTCTGACTCAAACGGAGAACCCTCCTAGTTTCTGGCTGTGCAGGCGAGATATGCTACTTGTGACTGTGGACCAACATTCTTATAATGCTGGTTCGTTTATCATGGATTTCTTGTTAGTCTTTTAGAGAGAAGTATCAAACGGAAGTTGTCACGTCCTAGTGAAAATATACGCTGCAAAACTAGTTGCCGATCGAGATGAGATGACATGTTTCTCGTATGATTAAAACCGAAAAGTTGCTTGTTTGATGAAATCTGTCATTATGAATATTTCTCTCGTGATGTATAGAATCACTCTCTCTGATGGTTTCAAGCATGAGTCTCCTTTAATGAGTCCTTGTGCGTTTCCGCGCATCCCTTCATTCCAAAACCTAAAAAGTTGCTTTCGTTTTGCCGACGTTCAGATTAAGACAGCTGATGCAGAAAATCATCAGTAATATTATCTCTAGTTTTTAATATAAGAGTTCGTTTAATTTTTATTTTGATCATAAATATAAGATCCTAATATATTTTGTCTCTCATATTTATCTTTTTTTTTTTCAAAACAATCCTTGTAATAATAGTAGTTCTAACCAATATATTTAATTAGTAAGGATATTTTAGAAAATACAATACTTATTACAGAGAACTAACTTAATTAGTTTGTTTAATTTACTCAAATTAGTCAACTAATTTTAATATTAAGGATCAGAGGTAGTGTTCATTTGTTTACGCAGAAATTTAATTGAGAGATATTTATTTATTTACGAAGAATCCGACTGAAAAATACGATCCTACAAAAGACAAAATTGAGAAACCTGTGAGAGATCAAAAAGGAGTCCTGTGTAAAAGACAAAAGGACCTCCGAAAAAATTATGGGAATCCAGTGAGAAACTTTAGGCCGATTCAAAGACGTAAGGACCAATTGGTTGTGAAGATTGGAAGCAATAAAATACAATCATTTGGGTAACAACTTGAGATTGGTCTTCCCTTTGCACCATGTTCAACCATGGCTCAATACCTGACCAAAACCTGTTGTGGATAGTAACGAATTCGTCATTCTGTGCATCGTGTGAATGGGATAATGATGTCGGAGAGAGGTTCAATTACTTATTAGGGGAAGCTTTCGTGCTCGCTTGGAGTACGAGGCTGCTGTTCTTGGATTTCATGAACGAGCTAGTCAGTTCCCAAATTCCCTCGTAAGCCGAAACTACTGTTCTTTTTCTTATTAAATAGAGTGGCTCTTTCCTTTTGAACATAACTTCAAACAATGCCAATGAATTATCCACCAGGATTACAGAACTCAAGAATAATACTAACTCCGCACACTATTAGGACGGCGAATAAGATATTTTGAAGTCACTTTCTTATTAATCAGGGCAGCTGTTCATCTTTGTGTAATTCAATTGTGCCTTACGACATCAAGGTAGAGTGCTCTCTCTCTCTCGGGCCCCTTTTGTTCAATGATATTTATTTCACGATACATGGTTTACCTCCCTCTTATGCTGCTTATGAAGATATTTCCTGATTCTTAGTTTCAAACCTATTGAAACTGACGTTTAAGTTAATTACATCTACGAGCATGCTCTGTTTCAAACACACTGATTTCCTATTTATTCAGGAAATTAAAGATGCTTAATTTAAAGATGGCGCGCATAACTCTTTATTTTTCTTAGCGTATGAGTGGGAAGGAAAAGAGCTGCAAATCCATTGGAAACCATGGCTTGGAAGAGGATTGACCCATAATGGTGGGTTTTGGTAACCACCACCCTTGCTGGCTGGTGTTAATTGCAGGGGGATATATTCTTTATGCTCGTAGCACCACAGAAATTAAATAGGGATCTCCTGTTCTTCACATCCGATTTTCGCAAACATGAATTAAAACTGATGCAAACGATTGCGTGCACGCATGTAAGTATGAAAGATTCACCACCAATTACGCGGCTTAAAAAGGGGGAATATAGTGGCAAGACAAGGAGCGGGGGGGTTTGAAGAGTCGATAAATTAAAGGCTGACAGCATCAAGCGAAAGGAGAGCGACAGGATTGAGAAACACAGAAATATGCACCCATTCACTTGCCCAATCCAATCCCTACAAGAAAGATATTTTAATCAGCTATTAATCCCCATATTTGACTCGCCTACTTTTCAACGCCTGTGAGTTCGGATAATGTTTGAAATTAAATATGCAGAAGCAGTTGGTCCAACGAATTTCGCAACCAGACTTGTTTGCAGGGAGTGGAAGTTAATTTGGATTGTGAGGTTTGGCGGACGGGACCCCACGGATGAAGGAACCGGCTGCGCAGTAAAACGGAGCATGCCGGGATCCACTGGTCAGGAGAGGAGTGCATAAAATAAATAGAACGTGTGCGAATTGAAAAGCTTGCCAATTTAGACCCAATCACCCAATTGCTTCTTAATTAATTACCAGATTCAGCCATATGGGCTCCATGCTTCCCCTGTTCCCCTCAATCACAATATTATTAATTACTAGTAGTACTCTTTTTTGCAATACTCCTGAATCATATCCATACAATGCAGTGCTATATTGGGCAATTTTTCTGAGTAAAGAAAATTAATCGGAGTTGATTTAAATGAAAGTACGAATTAGCGCGGTGAGGGAATGCAGTGCCCAGTGAGGCAACAAAAGGGGGGATTTGGAAGGTTGGGAAAAGAGTTGCGAACCTGGAAGCCCTGGTAACTTATATTAAGGATCGTGAGGTTTTTGGAGTCCGGTGCAAAGCCCTTTCCAATTTACTTCCATTATTGGTTCCATGGAAACGACCGTTGCCTGTCCTGTGCCTTCCATGTACATGTAAACTCTCATCATTGGAGCTGTGGTTCTCCTGTGCCTCCGAGTGCGAGCAGTTGTCAATTTCATTCTTTTATGTTTTACTCGTTGCCATACTGATCCATACAAATGAATGAGCTCACATATCTAGAAGACCATACGGTATTTTAGATTAAAAAAAAAATCTCTTTATTTCTAACTGCGCAACTGCCCCTCCGATAGGCTACGGTTCCTTTTCATCTTTTATTGCCAGCGTTCCTTTTTCTCCTGCATTTTAGCGCATCAGGAGAGAGGATATGGATTTTATCACACTTATATTTTCAGGTGAATAATAGGGGGCCTTCAACCCGTTTCTTGCTAACTCAAGACAATACGTGGGTAAGAAATCCCCACCCAGATATTATAGAAGAATTTTATCGCACTTATTATTAGTCACTTGTTCAATTAGACCCGACAGTTTTTTAAAAAGACCGAACATTATTTTAAGCAAAAACAAAAGCCACAATAAGAGAAGACCGTTACTCGACCCAGCTAGCGCCTGGCAGGCTTCAACCGTACACGTCCAGACTCATTTAGGTTTAGAATGGGCCCACCAACTGTTCTAACAATTCCCAGCCACCTTAATCGTTCTCTTCATCTCAGCTCTCAGAGTCAGAAGAGACAAGTAAAATAACAAATAGTAAAAGAGGTCTTCGTTAAATATCCATATCCATTCTCATCAAATGCGGTCACTGTACAGTTTTGGCAAAAAAATTAAAAATTAGCAAAGGGATCCACACTCGTCTATAAATACGCCTTCCAACTCAGTCAGTTGCTCTGCCTTGTAATAAACAAACCCCTACTTTACGTATTTTCTTCTTCTTTCATTCTTCTTAATTTTCTCACTGGCCACTGCCCGTCGCCTCCGTGGATTTGTGGATGGACCGCCTTACGTTATTGTTTTCATTTTTATTAACACTTCATATATCGGCATCAGGTAATCGAGCTTCAACTCCGAAGAATCATGATGCGAGATCAAATTATAGTCATAGCTGTGCTGGCCCGAGTTCTAAAATTGTCGGGGTCTAATGTATTCGTGGTATGCTTACTTGCAGGAGTAATTTCAACTACATTCACAATAGTTAACAAATGCGACTACACGGTGTGGCCAGGCATTCTATCCAACGCTGGAGTTACGCCTCTTTCAATCACCGGTTTCGTTCTGCAGACGGGAGAGTCTAAGACGATCTCTGCACCAACCTCTTGGGGAGGCCGCTTCTGGGGTCGGACTCTCTGCTCCCAGGACACGAGCGGCAAGTTCTCGTGCGTAACCGGGGATTGCGGCTCGGGCATGCTGGAGTGCGCCGGCAATGGGGCCGCACCGCCGGCCACGCTGGCAGAATTCACTCTGAACGGTTATGGCGGCCTGGATTTCTTCGACGTCAGCCTGGTAGACGGTTACAACGTGCCTATGCTGGTGGTCCCTCAAGGGGGTTCGGGCGACAACTGCTCCAGCACGGGCTGCGTGGGGGATCTGAATGGCGCGTGTCCGTCAGAGCTCAAGGTTGCGAGCGTGGATGGGAAAGAAGGGGTGGCGTGCAGGAGCGCTTGCGAGGCATTTGGCTCCCCCCAGTACTGCTGCAGCGGGGCGTATGCGACGCCAGATACCTGCAGGCCATCCGCCTATTCGGAGATATTCAAAAGCGCCTGCCCACGCGCCTATAGCTACGCGTATGACGATAAGACGAGTACATTTACGTGCGCCTCCGCAGATTATACCATAACTTTTTGTCCGACACCTAACACCAGGTTTGATTTTATTAGGACGGCTGATTTTTGATGTGGTTTGTTGGGGGGGGGGGGGGAGGGTCAAAACAAATCATAACGGGGGTCGTTGTTTTGCAGTCAGAAAGCATTGGAAGGAGGGGAAGACGCGAAGAGCACACCCGCATCACCAAGGAACAGCACGATTGTGTATGAAGGAGCTGCTGGTCAGAGCGAAATATCAGGGGGGACCCACTTGTCGAAATTCGGGCCTATTGCTCGCGTGGCAATGACCGTTTGGCTTTTCAGCCTCCTCCTCCTACTGCACTGACTTCCACGTCTTCCATGACCCTCCCCAGTTGTCGGGCCCAGCGCTGGCCCGCAGCTGACGAGGACGTGACACATCCGTTCCCACCCTCCGACTCTCATTGGCCCGACAACGTGAAGGCGGACTTCGGTGGCGGCAGTTGGCCAGTTGAAAAAGAACGACAAAAGAAAGTAGGCGATGTAGGCAGAGAGGCTAATGAACCGGTTTTTTTTTTTTTCCCTCCCTATTATATGGTTTAGAATTATTTTGGATTGGGGACGATGGGATTCCTTTATAGTAGTTTATAACAGTGTAGGAGGACCTTAGTACTACTTGAATAATTATAATTTACGAACGGAATGGACTCGCATTTCAGTCCATCAGTGCTACCAGTTTACACTCTTGTTTTGGGGTTATATTTTTACTTTTTGGGCAATCAAAAAGAAAGTATTGGAGATGCAGAGGGGATAATATAAAATAAATGCGCCCTCGTGCCAAAGGAGGGGAAAAAATGATGCGAGTGTTAGCACGTGGCATGTAGTATGAACGTTGTGGCGGGATGCGAAGAGCGAAGGTGAGCAATCAACAAAAGCCGCCACATATATATGCATGACATGACAGTCGACACCAAACCAGGCAGCATTCACTTCACCCGCCTTCAATATTAATGCATAATATAATTTGGCCGCCTTTGCAATAGTGAAGCTGCCTCCGCCGCCCCCTCCAAGTCAGATGCTCATGCTTCACAGTTTGAGATAATTAAGGGGGAAAAAAGTCATCTGCGATTATAATTGGCTGAGGAATCAATTCCACCCATTATTTTTTGTCATTTTAATGCAATCCTACCCATTACTAAACATATACATAGACTTAATATTGCACTAAAATAAAAAGATCATTGGTGAAATTACATCCCTAAAAAGATTGAGGTATTAAATGCATATGAGAGATAAGATTAAAGATAAAACTACATCTTTTACCCGTTAATGATTTCTGCTGTGAATATCCTAATTCTATGTTTTACCTGACCGAATAAATGCAGGGTTAATTAGTTTGGTATGAAAAAATAAAATAAAAACTCTGTCAAAGACTAATTAGCCCCTCTTGATCTCTCGCAGATCTACGAAAACGTTTTCGTGTTTGAGTGAACAACGAGAAAAGAAACAGCGGTCAGTTTAACCGGAAATCTTTTGGCACGTGTGTGTTTACTGTTTACCCACTCTTCTGCATAGATGTCTAAAATCCAAATGCATCATGGGCCCCTCATGCGGAGTATTAAAGTGGATCTGTTATGATTTGTAGCTGGGCCTGGGAGCTGGCACAATGCATAAGGGGAGCCCACTAACCAAAGAAATGGCAAAACTGTCAGAAGTGGGATTTGAACCCACGCCCTCTCACGAGGACCAGAACTTGAGTCTGGCGCCTTAGACCACTCGGCCATCCTGACTGGACGTTCCTCTGGGCAAACTCTAACTTCGAATGTTCCACGCAAGCGCGGCCGGCCGCGTTTGATTGAAACCACGTCCTTTCGTTATGAGACCAAACAGAATAAAAAAACTGCCGCGGCTGGGAAGAGCTGGTTTTAGACCGGGGTCTTCCATTTGTAGGATTAAGTTTTATGGTAGAATCTCGCATGAATATATGAGCTTCTTTGGATTTCATACCCATCAAAGTGAAGCCATGAGATGCGCCTGATTGATTGAACATGGATATTTTCTGTTTGGGACACAGTTGGGAATGTGATTCCGTATAGGAAAAAATTCTTTTACTAAACAGATATTTAATAAGAAAAATGAGAGAGATTCTGACTTCTCGTTGTATCCTTGTTAGGCAAAGTAACTCGGAATATAACCAACGTAGATTCCATGTTGAAAATGTGAGACGCACTGTCCCGTGTTTGATAAATCTACTCCTACAATTATAATAATCTTAATCAGCATGGAAGCTGTATATGCGAATCAGAGAAAAATAAAAAATGAAAAAGAGGAGAGCAGGATTTTTGAAGAAAAATTGCTTTTGCTTGCGCTAATTAAGTTATATAACTGGTTAACAAAAAAAAAAATTAAGTTATGCAACTCACAATCATAGTAACATTCAAAGTAAAGTTTCCGTCATGTCAATGTTGACTGCGCATGCCTGGGCTTGGTATGGAGTTTGAAGATACCCAGTTTTCGTTGGCGATATTCATTTGATTCTGTTGTTTTAGCGCTCTCACTCACTCAGAGCAAATGAAGGTGTGCCCCAAAAGTCATTATGACCCCTAATATGATGATGAAACTCATGGCATGCCTCGCTTCAGTGGTCTTCCCATCACCCACGCATCATTAAGACTGGCTTGGTACAATGGAATCTAAGAATTCTTTTTGCATTAAGAAAAGAAGAAAGCCAGGTCAGAAATGCAAGGGCGCGAGACTTGAAATGGAAACCCAATGGGAACATGCCAGAGGAAGTAGATCCGCCCAAGTTTGCTTTAGAATGAAGCGCCCGCCCCCTGTTGTGTTGCCGTTGGGCAGTTGGTGAGCCTGCCTCCACGTTTATACATCACTCATTCGCTCGCATTTTCATCGTTTCGTCTTACCCGACCTCTCTTTACGACCTCATCCTCTTTCTCCTTCCACTCTTTCTATTCTCCTCCCCTTCTTTCCACCTCTCTTCTGCAGCTCTAACTGTCACGTCCGCCATATAAAATTGTAATAAACCTGCTACATATCATCACTCATTACCCTCCTCCTCCATATATTCTTATTACATTATTTCTCACCCTCGCCTCCTACTCCATCTCAGTCTTTCAATGCACTTCTTCTTTCTTCCTCGTTACTCCCTGTGCATTCATCTCATTTCTCTTCTGCTTCTGAGGGGTCCGTCGTAATTCTGCTTCATCATTATATCTTGCGATTTGCATAACACGATTCCTACTCTGTTAGCTAGTTTTTATATTTGGCTGTTCGCGTTTGATTCATCGGATATATATATATATATAGGTGCATCGGCTGCTACCTTCACTGTCACCAACAAGTGTGACTACACTGTGTGGCCTGGCATTCTGGCCAATGCAGGCACCTCCGCGCTGAGCACCACCGGATTTGAGCTTCAACCGGGTGGATCTCGGAGTTTCCAGGTCCCGCCCAGCTGGTCTGGAAGGCTCTGGGGCCGAACCGACTGTACTTTCGACCCGAACAGCGGGCAGGGTAGCTGCGTCACCGGGGACTGTGGCTCCAACCAGGTCGAGTGCAATGGGGCCGGAGCAGCCCCACCCGCAACACTGGCGGAGTTCACCATCGGGTCGGGTAGCCAAGACTATTACGACGTCAGCCTCGTGGACGGCTACAACTTGCCTGTGCAGATTGATGCGGCTGGAGGTTCGGGGTCCTGCGCCTCCACAGGTTGCGTGACGGATCTGAATCGGCGGTGCCCGAATGAGTTGCGGGTCGGGGAGCATGCGGCTTGCAAGAGTGCCTGTGAGGCATTTCGGAGTCCCGAGTACTGCTGCAGCGGCGCGTATGCTTCACCCGCCACTTGTAAGCCGTCGGTTTATTCCCAGATATTCAAATCGGCATGTCCCAAATCATACAGCTATGCCTACGACGATTCCACGAGCACATTTACGTGCAGTGGTGCGGATTACACAATCACATTCTGCCCTGCCACCGCAAGGTACCCGATTCTATTCCTTTTTATGATTTCGTCATTAAAATATTCTAGCTACGTGAATTCGTAAAGTGGTCCGATGTGTTCGTCCAATTATTTTTTTGGTGGACCTAATTATTTATTTTATTAATTTAATCTAATGAACTTTCATTGGAGTTTTATTGTTCGCTCTGTTATGGTCTTTCTCCCCTAGGCGTACTTTATGTGTGGCACAAGTTAATGCCTGAATCATATTTGCGTGGCAGACACATAAAGATATCGCCGATGCCAATCTGCTCTGCATGGAAATAAATATACAATGCAATATCTCAGTTATAATCCCATTGTGTGATTGATGTTTTCAATTTCAATCATTTCTTAATTTCTTGTTAATTTTCTCATTTGAAAATTAATTTTTACGTTCATTATAAATGTATATACAAATGCAGTCAGAAATCGGCAAGAGATTCAGCTCCAGAAAATGGGAGTGGGGAAGTGCCAACGGGGAGCGACAGTGCATGGCTTCCAGACTTTTTCATTTCACTTTCGCCAAATTCAGTGTCCTGCTCATCCGCCTCAATTGTCACTCTCATTTTACTCATCTTCCAAACGATGCAGTATTTGAGGCTTGAGGAATTATGTTAAAGCCCAGCTTTCCATGCAATTCATTCTTTGTTGCTTCATTACTTTTGAGGAAGTTGCAATCTCATGCCCCTGGTGTGCGTGCGTGCGTGCGTCTGTATATGTAAGGAGTTTTTACCGTAGGCAAGAGAGACTATTGGCTTTTCTGGATTTAGAATTCGAGTAATATGGTGAGTACAAGTAAGTCGAAATGGCCGTCCCACCCAACTTCGCCGGAATGTGAAGGTTGGTACCTGTGCAACTTGGGAAGTGTAAATCATGCGGGGGTCTGCGTCAAAGTCACAAGGTTGACTTCATTCCCGTTCCAACTGCACCAGATGATCCAATGCCTAGTTTCTCTCGTCCTTGACAGCAGACTTTGAAAGCCATTTGCTCATCAACTCTCGTCTAAATCCACTATTTGAGCAGCGTGGACTTTGTTTTAGGCTCAACGGCTTCATTTTAAACAGGCCCACAAAATATTAAGGGAGGCAAGCCCCTCGGGCCTCGTCATGGTAGGCGCCCGCGTAGGGGATATAACCCTCGGTTGAAATATATAAACAACTTTTTAATTATGACTTATATAATACAAGATAGATAAATAAACAAAAATTTACTTAAATCAACCAATACAAACAAATATATAAATATGTGCAATGGAATGACACAATTATCCATATTGAATGAGATACCTGTATAAATATATGAATATGCTCAAATGAATATACTATATCTTAAGCTTTACTTTATAATTTAAGTAGATTAAAAATAATTAAATTATTTATTTATAAAATATTTTTTAAATTAGTTGCATTAATACTATCTCTTTTAAAAATAATTTAAAAAATAATAAATGTGAAAAACAAAATAAATTAAACCCAACTCTCCTTTTAAGGGCTCTTCTTATTGTCATTGCCCATGACAATGCGCCCCCAGGAGGCGGCCTACTTTCCATTTCTCTCCCCGACGGCTCTTCCCCATCAACCCGGAAAATGATGGCTTTTCAAATATTAATTCCCTGATCATGAAAAATTAAAAAGCCAAAAAAAGGAAAAAGAAAGGAGCCACATTTGCAGTAGATAGAAGACAAAATCTCAATTCCTGGTATAGTAGACTAAACGCCAGAGCAAATTTCCATGGATTACATTAGTATGATCACAGTAAGCTACAGGCTACAGCCATAGCATTCCTTCTCTAACTTCGTAGGCATCGAAGTTAAACGCAGAAGCCTAAAAAGCTTTTTCCTCGAGAGGCTAAATCCTAAATATAACCAAGAAAATGGAAATACAAAATCCTTTCAAATCTACAACTCGTCCTTAACATCAGCATTATCGTTGGTAGCCTCAGCTTCAACCTTCGGAGTAGACGCATCTTCTTTTACTTCGCTATCGGCCTCAACTTCTTCAGCGTCATCTTCCTCTTCAACTCCAGCTTCAGGGCTGATGTTCAAGCTCGACTTGACTGAGCTATAAACACGGGAAGCAAAATCCTTGGGGTCATCTAGCAAGAAGCCACTTTCAAAGAGTGCAGTCTGGTACATCAGCTTTGCCGTTTGCTTCACACTCTCATCCTGTGAAGGCAAGCCAATTGTGTCAGCAACCACTTCGTGCAAATCCAGACGATTTAATTCTCAAGATGTATAAACACATGGCGAGCCAGGCTTCTTAATAAATGATCAACAATGAAAAAGACAAATAACCAAGAATCCTATTAAGAAACGATGTAAAGAATTTTAGAAGCATCAACGAAGGAACATGTACTTGAACTTAACACCTTAATGCCACAATGATGAAGCAGCAGTATACACCCCACCACCACCCAAAACAACACCAAACACAACAAACCAAACCACAAATAAAATGCTGACATCTCTTCACACACAAAGTAAAAGCAAACAGGAAATATTCTATTCCGAAATGTACCTCGGCGTTATTCACTACTCTCTCCCGGAGTTCCTTGATAATAGGGTGTCTAGGATTGATCTCAAGAACCCTCTTTCCCCGCATGTATGCCTGCTTGCTAGCATCTGACAAAGTCTGAGATTGCATGATCTTCTCCATGTTAGCACTCCAACCGTATTTTGATGTCACTACCACACAAGGTGTGTTGTCCAATCGGCTGGAAATCTTCACATCATCAACCTTCTCACTGGAAAGGGCATTCTTCCACCACTTGGTAAGATCCTTGAAAGATTCCTTCAGCTCCTTATCTTTTGAATCCTTCCCAATCTTCAAACCCTCCTTGGACACATTCTGAAACTTCTTGTCTTCGTAATCCATCAAGTATTGCATCAAGTATTCATCAACTGGATCTGTGAAGAAAATAACCTGTAGTCGTTTTGGGGGAAATTAGAAGAGATAGCATCGGCTTGTTCACCAACCCAACAGAGATCAAAGAGTTGACGGGATCAAGTATATCATCAAAATAACATAACATCAACAGAAACAGATTTTTAATTGCACCTCATAATTTTTCTTCTTTAGCCGCTCAAGGAATGGAGATTTTTCCAATTGTTCTTTGCTAGTTCCAGTTAGGTAAAAGATATCTTTCTGCCCAGGTTTCATTCTAGAGATGTACTGATCTAGAGAAGTCAGTTTACCATCGGACTTTGTGCTGTAAATAGTCCAAGTATAACTTACGATGTCAGGTCATGAAAGAGAAGAAACAATATCTAGTATTGAAAGAGGCACGCTGCAACGGAATTTAATTCCAGTGAGGAAAGTTACCTCTCAAACCTAAGAAGTTTTGCCAAACGATTTCTGTTGGTAGCATCCTCAATAATACCAAGTTTAATGGACTTTCCAAACTCATTCCAGAACTTAGCATATTGACCTCTTTTATCATCATTGTCAGGGGACTTCTCGTCTGCATCAAAATTCAGAATTAATGATACTGAAGTTAATGAAACCATTCATCATCAGTGTGCCACTTTAGATCATTAGAGAAAGATATCTAACCAACTGCCGAATTTTTTTCTCCTTCAAGAAGCCCATTAGGCTCAGAAGTACTCATTCGGTTCCTAACATAGGAACTAATTAACTAATTTGAATAGATTAAGAATATTAGTTAAATTAGTTAATATGACATTTCTTTCTAAAAAACTCTTAAGTATCTTCATTAATTCCCCCCTTCCTTTCCTACTTGATATTGATCATTGTCAAGGGAATATCGATAAAGATAATTTGAAAAAAAAAAAATCAATAAATATTCAATAAGTCTTATATATAAGATCAATATTAACTGTTAGGTCATATGTTAAAGATCAAAAGAGTAATATTTATTACTTATCACACGATACCTTTCTTGTCTTCATTGGCTGACTCATCAGGATCCTCATCAGCAATCCTACGGATCATATCAAGGGCTTTCCTGATGAGTTTCTTCTTAATTGTCTTTAGACTACTGTGTTGTTGAAGCATCTCTCGTGACACATTAAGTGGCAATGTGTCCGAATCAACAAGACCCTACTCCCAATGTCAAAACATACAAGAATTACCCAAAATCGTAAAAAATTATGATCCTCACGATATATCACAAAAGAAATGGGGAAAAGCAGTAAGCACCTTCAAAAAGTTCAGGTATTTAGGCAACAGCTCATCAAATTCATCTGAAATAAATACTCGTCTAACATACAACTTCAAGTTGGATTTGTTTGCATTATAATAACTCTCATATAGATCCTGAGGAGCCTTAGGTGGCACAAACAGGACCGCCTTGAACTCAACATCACCTTCAGCAGTAAAGTGACTCCAAGCTAAAGGTTTTTCATCACTGAAATCCTGCAAAATGCAAAAATTCACATGAATATAAGCAGATGTCACTGCCAGGGGAAAAAATTGCCCATATAAAATCTAAAGGCTCCCATAATTAATGAAGAGGCAAGTATGCATGTATGCACCTTAGCCAAAGAGTGGTAGAATTGATTGTACTCCTCATCTGTAACATCCTTAGGACTCCGCAGCCATATGGCTTTGACATCATTCAAGAGTTCCCACTCATAAGTAGTTTCCTTGACCTTCTTTGTCTTGCGCTTTTCTTCTTCATCTTCACTTTTCTCAGCATCTTCAACTTCACTTTCTTCCTCAGAAGAGCTGCTTTCAGCTGAAAATGGAGAAATATAGGATAAGAAATAAGCATAAATTGTGCAACTACAAATAACATCTTAATGGATGTTCGCTAAACAGTTTCTTGATGTGTCGAGTGTAACATAGACAAGTTACCAACCAAGTCCATAACTTACACGTTGATTCATCTTCATCACTAGACTCAGCCTCATCAGCGGGAACCTCAGTCTCAGTTTCCTTGCTTGCCCAAATATAGATAGGGAAGTTGATAAATTCAGAGTACTTCTTAACCAATTCCTACAGGGGAAAAAGAACCAAAACAATTTAAGCCAGTTACTCTAAGAAACCTTAAATATCAATAGGTGAAAAATGCAGGTAACTATGCCTAGATTAAAATTGTGATATATGATATACTGCTACGAAAAAGTGAAATAGGACGGATAAGAAAGTGCAAGCATAAAATGGAAACTGCTAGTTATGACGACCATAAAAATTGAGGAAGGAACCATCTGAAAGTTTGGAAGATAAAGAAATAATGAACTGGAAGTTTGCAGCAGATGGAGCACTTGAGATGTCCAGGTCAAAAGAAGAACATATATATTGAGAAGAAGCTAGAGAATGAAACAAATTTAGCACCTCTATTTACGATTTTCAACTAAGGGCAGAGCATTAAGGTATGTATTATCACCTAGCTGTAAATGCACAACAGTTATTTCTATTTAAGTTAAAAACTAGCAGGGTATTCTTGTTCACGGAAAACTTAAAAACATCATGATGTGCTGGCTTAATAAAAATTCAGCAATCTAATATATACATACTTTCAACTTGTACTCCTCTAAGTACTCCCCAGCCTCATCTCTGAGATGTAACCTAATCTCAGTCCCACGTCCTAGAGGTTCATTCCACGTATCTTCCGATATAGCAAATGCTCCATCAGCTTTTGATTCCCATACATACCTG